GCGCCCGCAGCTGGGCCTGCAGGCACCTGGCCGTGCTGGCCAAGTCCTGCGTGGTGCCCACGCCGGAGCCCCACTCCGTGTCCCGGGGGAATCCCTGGGGGGAGTCGCCCCTAGGGCCGCTGAGTTCCTGCCCGGTAGTCGTGGGGGAAGAACGAAGCAGCTTCCTCTCTGCCGCGGATGCTCGGGCCACATGTGGGTCGGCGCAGGGGGACACGGAACCTGGAGAGAACCTGAGGGCAGTGAAGGAGCAGGAGTGCCCGGCACCCCACCCCAGCTCCAGCGGCAGAGACTCAGGCAGCAGCGAGGAGGAGGAGGAGGAGGCACAGGCTGCCCCCGGGCTGCCCTGCCAGGCGCTGCAAGGTGGCAGGCTGCACGCCCTGCAGAGGGACCTTCAGCTCAAGTCTCTGCAGCAGGAGCTGCAGCAGGACAAGGAGGCCCAGTCTTTGGCCAACTCCCTGCAAGGCTGCATCATCCGACAGTGCCTTTTCAGGGACGGGAAGGGAGGAATTTTCATTTATTCAGGAGGGCAAGCAAAATTGGAAGGAAGTGTCTTCAAGGATCTGACCTACGCAGTGCGCTGCATACAGAACAGTAAGGTGCTGTGAAGGCAGCAGCTGCCCCACTTCCCTCTCCCTCCTGCTCCACCAGCTTCTTTCCTATGCACAGTCAGGGGGAGCCAGCCCCTGCATGATCCGGTCACTTGAGCCACCTGCTTCCTGCATCATTGCAATTGGAGGTGGCAACCCAGTGGGCGTGCTGGGGTCCTGTTGCTCTGCCCATTCGACCTGTAAATCAAACTCCCACTCCGTAAATGTGCTGGTGGTTGTCATCACCACTGCTGATCCCAGCACAGCCCATACCGCAAACACAGGGACCTGGGGACTGTGATGTTCCCCTGGGTCTTGCCCCTTGCAGTGGCCAGTCGTGGCTGCTTCAGGGGAGCCTGCAGGGCTGGGTGCCTGCAGGGTTGGATGCCTGCAGGGCTGGGTCCTGCTGCGGGAAGAGGTGGGCAGTAAGGAGGAATTTCGGCTGGGGAGGTGTGCTGGAGGTTGAACTGTTTTACTTCCGTGCAGCATCACTTAGCCCTGTGCTCACCCAGAGCTCTCCCCCTCAGTTCCTGAGCTCCTCTCTGGCACCAGTGGTAGGGAGGGCTGGGGGAGAATCTCGCTGCCAGAATCCCCCACACTGGTGGTTTCAGGGGACTTGGGAGGCTCCTTTCTAGCCCGCTGCCCAGGGTCACACCATCCCTCTCGCCTGGGTGGGGCAGCCCAGGATTTGGGCTCAGTTGTCTGTCTGAGGCTTAAAGAATGCAACTGAAGTTCTGTGCAGGGAGAGGAAGGAGGATGTTCTTCCGCCTGGTTCTGGGAGGGAGCTTTGCTGTGATGTTGTAGCTCCCACCTGCAGTCCCCACGGAAGGACTGATGAGTCCTGCAGAAGCACCTTGCTCCTTGGCAGGGAAGGACAGCTCCTTTCTTTCCAAGGAATACCCGTGCCAGAGGTGCCTTTCCGAAGGTGCCCACAGAGGCAGAGGGAGCAGGGCACCTGGCACAGTTCTGCCATGCTGCTCAGCAGCTAATCGGGGGCTGTTCTACAGCAGGTGGGCTGGCAGCACACACAGGTCCAGCATTAGGACCGGGTTTTGCCTTTATTCCCCTCAGCTTGTTGCTGTTCACTCTGAAGCCTGGTGTTAACTGTTAGCAAGGGGAAGGAGTGAGGCCAGCCCAGTGCTGCTGTCAGTGAGAGCTTGCTCAGCTGGGAGTTGGCCCAAAAGCTCCCGTGGGTGTCAGAGCGTCAGGCAGTGAGAGGCAGTGGAATGCTCACATGGGGACAAGGTGCAGGTGAAGCGGGAGCACAGCAGAGCTTGGTAGGGCTCAGTGTCCTGGCATGGCCAGCACCCTCAGGCACTGGGAAGCCTGGGATGGGATCTGGGGCTGGGGACTCGCTTCTGCCTGCATTTCCCACCTCCTACAGCTTCCTCGGGCAGGCAGGAGTGACTGATGAAGACGGGCAGCTGTTGAGCCCTGCTGAGCTCCACCTTTAGATGGACTGAAGCACCTTTCTGGAGTAAGCAAATAAAAGGAGGTATAACTTAATTACCTTCTGATTGGTGTTGCTCATTGGAGTGGGATATCCAAAGGCAATTTATTGATTCGTTTTTAGCACTCATAAGACATGGTTTTAAGACATTATGTTTTCTGGCTGGAAAATACTAAAGATTGCTCCTGCATAAATATTTAACTACTCGCTTAGAGGAAACAAGGTCATGGTGAGCGGTGTTGGTGATGTGCTGGCCAGGCCCCTCCTGCCCCGGCAGGCAGACCTTTGCTCTGAGGGCACACGGTGCTGGGCAGGAGTTGTGCTGAGCTGCCCTGTGAGGCTGCAGGAGGCTCTACCACCCCAGGCAACTCGTGCTGCTGCTGGGACACCTGGTGTCTGTGCCCTGGTGCAGGGGGTTGGTGCTGGTGCCCCTGGGCCCTGCTGGGCCATGAGGGGCAGGTCTGTCATGCCATGGGGGTGGGACGGTCACTGTTGAGGGGGTGTGGGTACAGTGCGGGGAGTGAAGTGTTGGGCTTCACACCTGAACGTGGAGAACAGGGGCTAATGGTTTAAACTGAAAGAGGAGAGATTCAAGTTAGACATCAGGAAGGAATTATTCACCATCAGAGTAGGAAGGCTCTGGAACATGTTGCCCAGGGAGTTGTGGCTGCCCCTTCCCTGGAGGTGTTCAAGGCCAGGTTGGATGAGGCTTGTGCAGCCTGGTCTGGTGGGACGTGGCCCTGCTCATGGCAGGGGGGTGGAACCTGATGATCTTTAAGGTCCCTTCCAACATTAACCATTATGTGATTCTATGAATGTGCCAGGACAGGAGGAAAACCTGGCTCTGTCTGTGCAGCACCAAGCACTGCAGGTCCCCATCCCTAGCAGGCCCACTATCAAGGCAATGCCCAGTGGGTTTATCCATACTGTTTGTCCATGTGCACTGATCCTCCCCTCAGCTGCCTGGTGTGCCTGGCATATCCAGGGCTGCAGGAGAGGTGGAGAGGTTGTCAATGCACAGAGGTTGCAGGAGGGAGAGCTCTACCCTTTGGTTGTGTTATACAATCACAGGATCATTTTGGTTGGAAAAGACCCTTAAGATCACCAAGTCCAACTGTTCCCCCAGCCCTGCCAAGGCCACCGCTGACCCGTGTCCCTCAGCACCACATCTACGCAGCTTGGAAACCCCTCCAGGGGTGGGGACTCCCTCCCTGCCCTGGGCAGCCTGTTCCTGTACTATTCCTCATCCTTCCAACTACAGCTACAGGTGCCTCTCTTCTCTGCAGGTCATCATGATGAGGAATGACATCCATCACTGCAAAGCATCAGGGATATTCCTGCGCCTGTCAGCAGGAGGCCTGATTGCAGACAACAACATCCATTCAAACTGCGAGGCCGGGGTGGACATCCGTAAGGGAGCCAACCCCCTTGTCTTGGTATGTCCCCCCAGCCATGCTGGAAGCTTCACGCTCTCTCAGGTTTCTCCCCGAGGGGCAGCAGGGATCCATCTCCCAGTATAGAAAACACTGACCTTTATGTAAGCTTTTCCCTTCAGCGTGTTTCCTAAGGTTTTGTTGATGGATTAGACTACAATTTTGTTGATGCGTTGCCCTAGAAGGGCAGGGCACAGCAAAGGGCTGCCTGATGGTGTGTGGATCATCTCCTGCTCTGTTTGATGGTGCCTCAAAATTGCTGTGCCTAGAGGGGGGGATGTTCCCTATCTAATAAACACCCCTGTGTGATGAGTGAGCTTGTGCAAGTGAGGCAGTGAATCAGCACTGTGAAGTGTTCCTCCCAGGCTAGGAGTTGTGTTCTCTGCCTCAGGAGCTGACGGAGGGTCTCGTCTCTGCTCAGCCTCAGACAGGAGGGAGCAGCAGCCTGCTCTCCAGCAGCATGGCTTTTCCCTGGGAATTGGGAATTGTGTGGTCTCCAGCTGTGCAGCAGATGGCCTTGTCCCCGTTTACTGATCACTGTATCTATTCTCATCCTTGAATGAGCTGGGGCCCCACCACACAGGGAGGAAGAAGTGGTTCCACACTGCCACTGAAGTGTCCCTGTGGCTGCATCGAGCTCTCCACCTCAGCCCTGCGCAGCAGGTGGGATAAGCAGGGCTGTGGACCGGGAAAGAGGTGGCAGCTCAGATGCTGTGGCTGGCCTTGGCTGCATCTTCGAGCTGTTGTTCTCTGCTTGGCCTGGTGTGGTGACTCCTACCCTGCCCCTCCACGAGGAACTAGGCTGCTGTCCTGCTCGGGGTGTCCCATTGTCCTCCTGACCACAGGGGCATGAACAGGGAAAACAGCAGCCAAGTGGCTGCTAAGTGGTCACTGGGGCTGTGCAAAGTGGCATCAAACAGCATGAGAAGAGGCACCAGGCTGTAACTCTCAGGCCTCTACTGGGACCTCTGCCTCCTGCTCCTGTGGGATCCCACTAAGGGTCTTTTCCTCTTGGTGGCCATGGGGAGGTGTTGGACTTGCAGGCCCACCAGCCGTGCCCAGTGTCAGATGGGCTGTAAGGAACAAAGCATCACTGGGTCCAGGACAGCCCTTGGAGAGGGCAGCAGGAGCTGGTGGAGGAAGAAGAGGCTTCAGGCATGACAGGAAAGGAAATTCAGCATTGTGTGCTACAGCCCCAAAAAACAGTAAAAGTTCAGGTGCCTTGACCAATGGAGAGTGATTTCTTGGCAGCTAGATTAATTACCCTCTGCCCTTTTCCCCAGCAGGGTTGAGAGCTGTTGCTTTTCTCTGTGGTTGCTGTCTCCTCTTGCTCACTTTTATGAGTGACTTTCCTTCCTTTCGCTTTTATTCTCCCTACATGTGCAAAAAAAACCCCATAGTGCAATAAGATACACAGTGGCCTTCGGTCAGGCATTGTCGTCGTTGGCAACGGAAGAGGCATCATCCGTAGCAATCAGATCTATGGGAACAAAGAAGCTGGCATTTATATTCTGTATAATGGAAACCCTGCTGTGAGGTATGTTAGCTAGCACTGACCTCTCTCTCTTCCCTCGACTGTTAAGAATTATTCCTCCCACTATGCACACTTTTTTCGTTTTTCCAATGCACACCATAGAGCAGAGGCAGGACCACAGTGCACTTTCTTTGAGTTCCCTCTCTCTGCTTGCTGCACTCAGGTCTTTGCCAAGTGCCACTCCTGAGCTTTCCCCCAGGGTCTGAGCAGGACAGAGGCTGTGTTCAAGATGAACAACTCACACAAGTCATGGTGCTGTTTGCAAGATGGGGAGTAATGAAGCTTGGCACTCCAATCACTTTTGCTCCAATTCACCTCTCTGCTTTAAACACCTGGAGCTACTTGAGTGTGTTTAATACCACTTGGTTTAGATGTTACCATGAGTGTCTGGCAGGCTTTCTTCAGGTTGATGCCATCAGCTCTACCTGGTGATACCAGCTGGTATCAGTGAACCCAGCAATTGGATTGCAGCTGGAGCATGGTATTGGTTGCAGATGTGAGTGGCATCTAGACCATATTGCCAGTCCCTCCCACCACCTGCCATGGCTGTGGGTGATCAGAATAGGTGTTTGACAGCTCACCTTGGTGCTGCAGAGCAGGGAAGGGCACAAAGGGAAGAGAATGGTTGCCCTGGATCAGCCCCATAGCTGGAGTGTGAGTATTCACACAGCTGTTGATAATTAGCAGCGCGTTAGCCTGAGTCCTGCAGTCCTAATGACAGTGACTCCTTGCAGGTCCGTGGTCTGTGCAGAGCTGGTGAGGTTCAGCA